ATACACCAGAGGAAAGTTTTCAAAACTTTACTCGACGCTTTGAAAACTACACAAAATTACGGGGAAACTTAAGTCCAAAAGTCAAAGTGGATTTATTTTTACAGGCAATCACCCCACAAAGACATGAACAGCTATACGATCTTTGCTTACCAGGTGACCCACATAAAAAGCCATACGAGGAATTGATTCACATGTTAATGGCTCAACTAGAACCAAAATCCAGTATTTGGGCTCGTCAGCACAAATTTACGACACGTACCCAATTATGTAATGAATCTGTACAAGCTTACGCTAATGCTTTTAGAAAGCTCAGTGTAGAATGTCAGTTTACTTGTACAAGTTGTAATGAATCCGTGTATGAAATTCTACTTCGAATGCAGTTTGTCAGGGGACTAAAATACTCTGATATACGTCTTCAACTTCTTCAAGATAAACTATTGCAACCGTTTAAAGCAGTAGTAAAAAAGGCTGCTACATTGGAACTAGCGAAAAGTGGGAGCAGAATACTAAAGACAAATGAAAATCAAGAGGAAGTACATCAAGTATCGAGCAAGAACAAACAACCAGATAGTAAGTCAAGTAAACAACTCTCTGAATATCAATCTCGTTTGGAGAAACTAAGGAACAAATGCTATAGATGTGGTGATGATTCACATAGAGCACATCAATGCAAGTTCAAAAACACAGAATGCAACTATTTTAAACGTTTTGGTCACTTAGCAAGAGTATGTCTAAGAAAACCAAACAAAGAAGTAAAACAATCAGATGAAACCGCAGAAAATACAAGCGATGACACTCATAAACAGAGAAAAGTTGATGAGGTTAAACAGAGAAAAGTGTAAGTTTTTCCAGGCCAAAATTGAGTACTTAGGTCATGTAATCGATGGCAAAGGACTACACAAGTCAGATAATAAAATACAGAGCATTTTAAAATGCAAAAGACCAGAGAACGTAACTGAACTCCGAACTTTCCTAGGCCTTGCGAATTATTACAACAAATTCATAAGAATTTGGCTACACTGCTACATCCTTTGAATCAGCTGCTACGAAAAGGAAAAACTTTTAAATGGAGCTTTGCTTGTGAAAAGACTTTTCTGAAGATTAAGGAAATTATTACAAGTGACGAAGTTTTGGTGCACTTTGATCCTAGCTTGCCACTGGTCTTAGCTACTGATGCTTCGCCGCTAGGTGTGGGAGCCGTTCTTTCGCACCGCTATAGGGATGGAACAGACAGGCCAATTGCCTTCGCCTCTCGATCTTTGTCAAAATCAGAACAAAAATACTCTCAAATCGATAGGAAGCCTTGGGAATATATTGGGGCCCGAAAAAGTTTTTCCCGATTTGTTATGGTAGCAAATTTACTTTGATCACAGATCACAAACCGCTAGTATCAATTTTTAATCCAGAAAAGACCTTGCCAAAAATCTCGGCAACACGGATCTTCAACTATGCTCACTATCTCTCCAGGTTCGATTATGACATAGTGTACAGGCAAACTGCTCATCATTGCAATGCAGATTATCTCTCACGTTCCCCTATCGAAGTAGTTCAAGAACATTCTGTAGATGATCTCTCGAAGTACCACATAAATCAACTGGAACACTCAATATCAACAGTACCGTGGTGGCTAAGGAAACTCTCAACGATGCTGTTTTAGGTTCAGTCCTACAGGCCTTAAAATGAGGACAATCTGTTAAGCAAGACGGATTTTGCGATAACGAGCTGTCCATTCAAGATGATTGTGTACTGAAGGGCTGGAAAGTCATGATACTTCAATCTCTCAGACCTCATGTGCTTCGAGAACTAAATGTAGCTCATTTAGGAGGAATACAAATGAAGACGTTAGCTCGCAGTTTTTGCTGGTGGAAATGTATAGACAAGGATATTGAAGAGATGGTAGCTGAATCTCGACAATGCATTGAAAAATGAACCCGAGAACAACTATCCATCCATGGGAAAGTTCAACATGGGAACAACCTTCCAATCCATGGGAGAGGGTGCACATTGATTTCTCAGGACCAATGGATGGCCAACAGTACCTGATATTAGTGGATGCCATAAGTGGGTAGAGGTGATACAGACAAAAACAACTACAAGTACATGGACAGTCCAAGAATTATGGAAAATCTTCTCAACTTTTGGGTTTCCTCGCATCTTAGTTTCAGATAATGGAAGACAGTTTGTTGAGTGGAGCGAGCGAAGCTCTTATACGTCGACCCTTATGCATTTCGTAATACGCAAACTCCTCCTAGACGGCTGAATCAATCGTTTTCAAATTTTGCATGGTGATAAAGACCATATCGGTGAGTGTCAACATCTATATGGCGTTAAAAAAATCTGTCAGGAATCCGCCCCACTGGGTTTCAGAGTTTCAATGTAATCCTTATGGAAGCAGTAGTTGACAAATAAACAAAGATCAGCTGTTGACTTTGAATGCAGTAGATAAAGAAATAGCTGATAGCATTATTCCACAGATGTTAGAACAGAAATGGTATGGGTCATAAATCAAATAACGACACTAGCTTGAGGTCCGTGACGTAGGAGGTGATGAAGGAAGTAGTAAAGGTGAGCAGTCTGGAGTGTGGAAACTGTTTATGACGATTAGATTTAGGTGTCTGCATTCCTAAAATTCTATGGGAAGGGAGGAAAACAGGTCCGCGATGTAGGAAGTGGTGAAGGAAGTAGTCAAAGCGAGCTGTCCGGAGTGTGGGAACTGTTTATGACAATTAGATTAAGGTATCTGCAATCCTAAAATGCTATTAGAGGGGAAAGAAACAGGTCCGTTACGTAGGAAGTAGTAAAGGCGAGCTGTTCCGGAGTGTGGGATCTGTTTATGACCATTAGATTAAGGCATTTGCAATCCTATGATGCTATGGGAAGGGGTCAGGTCCGTGACGTAGGAAGTGGTGAAGGAAGTAGTAAAGGCGAGCAGTCCGGAGTGTGGGAACTGCTTATGACGATTAGATTAAGGTATCTGCAATCCTAAAATGCTATGGAAAGGGGGAAAACAGGTCCAAGACGTAGGAAGTGGTGAAGGAAGTAGTCAAGGCGAGCTGTCCGGAGTGTGGAAACTGTTAATGACGATTATATTAAGATATCTGCAATCCTAAAATGCTATGGAAAGGGAGGGAAACAGGTCCGTGACGTAGGAGCAGTAATGGCAAGCTGTTCCGGGTGTGGGATCTGTTTATGACGATTAGATTAAGATATCTGCAATCCTAAAATGCTATGGAAAGGGAGGTAAACAGGTCCGTGTCGTAGGAAGTAGTAAAGGCGAGTTGTTCGGATTGTGGGAACTGGAAACCGTTTGTAGCAGTTAGATTAATGTATCTAAAATACTAAAATGCTATGGAAAGTGATGAAAACAGTTCCACGACGTAGGAAGTGGCTTAGGTAGTAGTAAAGTATGAGAATAGTGTGAGAACCGTCTGTGGCAGTTAGATTAATATATATTCAGTCCTAAAATGCTATGACAAGGGAAGGAAACAGGCCCCATGACGTAGGAAGTGCTCAAGGAAGTAGTAAAGGCTGGCAGTGCAGAGTGGGGGGCCGTTTGGGCAGTTAGATAAATGTATCTGTAATACTTAAATGCTATGAGAAGGGTAAAAAACAGGTCTATGACGTAGGAAATGTTGAAGGAAGTAGTAAGGCTAGCAGTGAAGAGTGTGGGAACTGTCTTTGGCAATTACATTAATGTATTTGCAATCCTAAAATGATATCGGAAGAGAGGGAAACAGGTCCACGACGTAGGGGGTGGTGAGGGAAGTTGTAAAGCTGAGCAGTGTTGAGTGTGTGAATGGATTAATGTATCTATAATGCTAAAATGCTATGGGAAGTGACTGTAGACTGTCGGTTAAAATGATTACGAAGCGCGAATCGATGCATATTTTAGATAGGTACATGCAATCGTTTACAATCGAAATTAACAACTGAGTTGACAACAGCTGATTTTTACTCCATAGAGGCAAAAAACGATTTTTACTCCCTGAAGAGTAAAAACGCTACTTTAGACCCGCAACGCATGCATTAAAAACGACTGTTTTACTGCAGTATGACAAAAGCAATATAATATGAACCCTTGATGACTCCGCTCAATTCTGTGGATGCCTCTGCGAACGCCACCTAGTTTCCCAAGAGTTCAACTTCATGAATGAATGTGGGATTATTTACAGAACCACGGCACCATACCATCCAAACTCAAACGGCCAGGCTGAAAGATACGTGCAGACTGTCAAGAAGGTGTAAAAATCCATAGAGGGAGAAAAAGGTACTCAGCAAAATAAAATCCAAAGATTCTTAATGCAACTCAGGCAATCCCTGAATTCAACTGGTACATCAGCATATCACCTAATGTTTGGAAGGAGTGTACGAACAATCCTCGCAATAATTGTACCAACATTAGAACCGAACAAATATCAGAAGAAGGCAGTCCAAGTCGGCATAAAAAGGAATTTCAAAGTTGGAGATAAAGTGCAAGTGCGGAAATAATGTCAATGGTTCGTCCAAATGGTATTCGGGCTATATAACTAAAACGCAAGGACATGTAATGTACGTAGTTCAGCTGGAAGATGGACGAATAATAAGAAGACACGTCAACCAGCTGATTCTTCGTAAAGTGCACAGTAAATAGAGGAGGAGGTGTTAACATATGTGTTATTTTCATTTTATTTCTAGCATGTGTTCAAATTATTATTTTGTTTACTTGTTGAATTGTTGATGTTTACTTAAAGATTGTGATTCAATAAAAACCTACGATCTATTTTCGTATACAAAATGTCAACTTTTATTAGTAAAATTAGTGGAAGAGACTTTTCACGCAAAGATATCGTGTACAGGGATCTAGACAAATAAATAATTAGATTCTTAGTTTGTTTAAATATTACAATAAATTGTTTTACATTTTAAGCTTTTTACGGACTTATGACCCTACATGCCACAAGTCAATAGTATTTACATAACTTGCTTTTGTGTTACAAAAAAAGAAAGATTTAACTTCTCACCTTTATCGCCTGACCGAGGAGGGCTGCTTGGTGCATGAGCTTTTTTGGAATGCAGCCGACGTTGACACACGTGCCACCCTCCCTCCAAAAGGACTTCATAGGGGACGGAGCTACATAGTCCACTACCAGAACCCTTGCGTTGTGCTCTTTAAACGCTACTCTGGCAGCAGCTAGGCCTCCCGACCCTCCCCCAATCACTATTAGGTCGTATTCTTCTGGGTTTTCTGTGAGAAGATATTTTCTTATAAATAGTCAATAAACTTTGCATTCATTGCTGATAATATCAGCAATAACCATAATTGAATCTCCTATTCAATGATGGTGCAAATAACTCAACTTACAATTGACTTTTTACCCAGTGCGGCAGTTCAGTACCTTGTGTCTATAAATCGATTAAGCTACATTTAAAACTATTGGAACGCTTATGATAGAGATCATCAATAATTTGAGAGATGGCTAAACAGGCGGAGGCTTAGTGATATTTTCTCCCTAAATTTCTATATAAGCTGTGTTAGGTCAAAGCAGATGTGTTTTATTTTTGTAAGGAGGGGGGGGGGGGGGTTACAGTTATTTCGATTGTCAGAGAAATATCTATATGGTACGATTATTAAGATTTTACGTAAAATGATGATAAACTTTTTGCATTTATAACATGCATTCGCCAACCCATATCTATAAACCGAAACACACTATGTGTTCCTTACCTCACTCATAGACCACCTACTGTCCGCGTACAGATGAGCCCGAGAGAATTGGTTAACCTTGACTGGAAAAGTGCCAGACCGTCCTATAGCCTACCTGTGTTATAAGAGTTTTACATGATTATTGTTTTTGTAAATAAATAGTTTTGATTGAGTTTGCTTAAAATGAGTTAAAAAAAATTATTATTCTATATTGGTTTTAGCAGTTGTGGTCACTGGAGCTGTTGAGACAAATTTGCCATAATTAACACCATAACTATGTGATGCTTAACATTGTCAATATGAAGTTTAATTTTGTATTTATTTTAACGTATTACATGTTTTCTAAATATTCAAAACACAATACATTTAATTTATCCCTAAGGGTTCCAAGACCAGTCAATCGATACATTTTCTGGTGTATAAGCTGCTTAGGTCTTTGCGAAAACCAAAATCGTCAACAGTTATATCTGGTCAAATCTGTATTCTCAAAACGTGAAAATCTGAAATCTTTTGAAAAAGCTTATATATAGTGTTTGGTAAAAGCAAATCTATAATATTAAAACGAAACAGTGTTTTTTTATTTCACGATTCTGAATCAACCACTCGACGGATTTTCATGATTTTTGTGTTGAAAGAAAGATAATTTTGAGAACTAGGGAATGTCGAAGCCATAAATTTAGTTTAGGGTCCCAGTTTTTTAGAAATTAAGTTTTAATTTTTAAAAAGTCTAGCAGCCGACGCTAAGATTCTAAACTAGCTTTTGGCATAAAATAATTTGCTTAACATAACAGCTGTAAACATTCAGCTTTTGTGTCACAAATTCAGCATTTGCATAAAGATGTAAAGACATACTTAGGGTTGACTTATTTATATTATGTGTAATGCTAATCATTGATACGTTCAATTCTTCTGTAAGAGGATGACAGATTAATTAAATTATACATAGTAAAATACTAGGATGTTCAAATTATTTTTAAAGCAATCTTTGTAATCTTCGATTTGTTTTAGAGCAATATAATTTGTTTTAACTAACAGCTGGTTAAATATAAACTATGGAACTATGAGGTTATTTTATTTACTCTTATTTTGTCATTGATTATAGGAAATAAGTCAGATTAGTAGAGATAATTAGACCACAGTTTAAAATAGTTTGGACCAAAATTAATTAAACCACAGTACAAATCGAGGCTTTGTACACGAGGCTTAGTAAAAAAGGATAAATGCAAATTATTTTACTGCTCCACTTTTCAAGGAAAGAATAGAAAAATAACAATGTTTACATATTTTATGAAATCGTGTTCAGTTGTGGTTACGTTTGGGGGTGCCTATATCAGCGCCCCCAAACGTGAAAATATCACTTTTATTTAAACTATGAATATATTATTGTTATTCATTGTGACCCTTGGTTGGAAATATAATTGATAAAATGGAAGAATTACCTTATCCAACCACAGTTGCTAGTATGACAACTAGTTTCGTTCCTTAGAACATCGTCAGGTCATTGTATGCAACCACATCTTCAATGTATGTATGTACATTGTGGTATGTCAAAAGATTCTTTAAAAACACTGTCAGAATCACAATAGTAAAAACTAGTCATGTTGATCAAACTATTAAAATTGAATAAAAAGTGATAAAACTGGTTAAAACTGTAAAGGCTGGCCAGCACTCTCTTTATCACTGTCACTGACTAAATAAAACTGACTGAATCATGAGGTGTCTTCATCTTCATCTCTCCAGTGCCACCTGTATTTCAGTTTGTTTTGTTCTTCTTATTTGATACTTCTTTGATTTGTAGCTTGTCAATATATGTATCAAATATAATATTTGACTGGAAGGAAGTCTGATCATTTAAAATGTTGAATGGGTCGAGTTTTTTAGCTTTGTAGATGGTGAATTCTTCTTTGACATCAAGTTTAAAACTTTTTGGTAATACTTCAACTATTTCCATGTTCTTGTCAATAGATGTGTAGTTGTGTGATTCTGATATTAAATGTTCGGCATAACTGGATAGCTGATGTTGTGATCTTTTAGGTATATGTTCTTTAAATCTTTGTTTGAAAGATCTTCCAGTTTGGCCGATGTAGTACACATCTATTGACAAGAACATGGAAATAGTTGAAGTATTACCAAAAAGTTTTAAACTTGATGTCAAAGAAGAATTCACCATCTACAAAGCTAAAAAACTCGACCCATTCAACATTTTAAATGATCAGACTTCCTTCCAGTCAAATATTATATTTGATACATATATTGACAAGCTACAAATCAAAGATAGACAAATAAGAAGAACAAAACAAACTGAAATACAGGTGGCACTGGAGAGATGAAGATGAAGACACCTCATGATTCAGTCAGTTTTATTTAGTCAGTGACAGTGATAAAGAGAGTGCTGGCCAGCCTTTACAGTTTTAACCAGTTTTATCATTTTTTATTCAATTTTAATAGTTTGATCAACATGACTAGTTTTTACTATTGTGATTCTGACAGTGTTTTTAAAGAATCTTTTGACATACCACAATGTACATACATACATTGAAGATGTGGTTGCATACAATGACCTGACGATGTTCTAAGGAACGAAACTAGTTGTCATACTAGCAACTGTGGTTGGATAAGGTAATTCTTCCATTTTATCGAATATATTGTAGTTTAAATTAATATGGGAAATTACGATGTACATTTATTCAATGAGGGTGGGTACTTATCAAGGATAGAACTGATATCGGTATGGATAATAAACATTGACAATTACGTCATTAGCTTTACTAGCGTGTTTACTTTTTATATTCCTGCTACATGTGACCAGTTCTTTTTTTCAAATGAATGTTATTTGAACCAAACAGCTGTTTCAAAACAAATTGTTATTGTTTTTACTTTTCTTTGTTTAGACTTATTTATTTAGTAATTAATTTTTTTTTTATCAGAATTTATTTTACAATCTGTTCAAACTTCAAATATGAGAACAATAAGTAAAACATATATCAAAACAATATCAGGAAGCAATTACCTGTTCATCAACAAGTCTTGCCAAAAATTGGATCAGTCATTTAAACATTTACAGAAATCTGTAGCTTAGGTCCAGCACATGCACAACACTTTTTAACCTGGTAATGCACTGACTATTGTCCAGCAGATTAACAGCAAGACTGTTCGGATGATATTCTATTTTTTCTTGATAATTTTTGCTAAGGTCTGTAATTTCTTCTTTCACTGATTTAATTTTTAAGTCATTCCTAATTGTAGTGTTGGACACGAACCAGGGTGCGCCAATAATTCTTCTCAGTGCCTTAGCCTGAAATCGTTCAAGAATTTCGATGTTGGATTTGCTCGAGGTCCCCCAAAGTTGAATTCCGTATGTCCAAATTGGTTTGATCATAACTTTATACAGTAAAATTTTGTTAGCCAATGATAATTTTGAATTCGTACCTAGTCTTTTTAATTTCAGATTCTGTTACCTAATAAAAAATACGTAGGCCTACTAAGCGTTTTTAACCTAACTAGGTGTGCAATGCAGTTGTATGCTTGCAATATTGAGCGGAGCTAGCATATTAATCCAATACTTTTCTAAAGTCAATTTTACATCTGTTCCTCGCAAATGAGATTAAATACTTGCAGATCCAATGTTAATGGTATATATGGTTCACTTAAATGGAATGTCTATTTGCAGTATTCTAAGTCAATTACAAGTCTGGTTCACGCAAATGAATTGTCTACTTGCAGGAACCAAAGTTTATGTTTCATCTGGTTCTCATATATTAAATGTCTAATTACAGTATCCAATGCCAATGATACATTTTTCGACTACGAAGTTGTTCACATCCCGGGGAAAGAAAATGTAACTGCATATTTACTATCAAGAAGCCCTAAAATTTCACCAATGGATCGGGAGAATGAGGTTATCGAGAATCTGGAGGAAGAAATGTTTGTAAGAAGCATAATTGATGCATTGCCTTGTTCTGATAAACGGCTGTTGGAAATTAAGAACGCCCAACATGAAGACCCAGAACAGGGGGATGCTTTTAAAATGCATCCAAGAGAATACATGGCGGAAAAATTCGGTATTCTGGAAGTATTGCAATGAACTCGCTTTGGAAGATGGATTAATTGTTAAGGGGAGGAGGATGTTCATTCCAAAGGCCTTGAGAAAAGAAATCTTATCAAGATTACATGAGGGACATTTGGGTATAGTGAAATGTCGGTGGCGTGCTCAAGAATCTGTTTGGTGGCCAGGCTGTTCAACAGAAATTAGTACTACAGTGGAAAATTGTCCAACATGTATAGAACACAGACTACAGCGAAAGGAGCCTCTGATGTCTACACAGCTTCCTCAAGAGCCTTGGACCCATTTATGTGCAGATATTTTGAAATGTAACCAAAACTGGTATTTGGTAATACAAGATTATTTCTAACGATTTTTAGAGCTCATCGAACTCAATACTTAGACTTCAGCGGCAGTTATTGGAAGGATGAAAAAAACATTTTTGCACGACACGGGATCCCTCTAGAAATTCGTACAGATGGAGGTACTCAGTTTACTTCTGACGAGTTCAAAGGTTTCGCAAAAGAGTACGGATTTAGTGCTGTCACTAGTAGTCCACACGTTCCTCAATCGAATGGAGAAGCTGAAAACGCTGTATCTATAGCCAAGAGGATTCTACTAAAGTGTCCGAATCCCAATCTTGGTCTATTAGCTTACAGGACCACCAAATTGGAATCGGGGCTATCACCTGCAGAGCTGCTGCATAATAGAAAACTAAGAACAACTTTACCTTCTCTCAACGACTTTCAAGTGGTTGGAAAAGATCAAATAGAATCCTTTCGAAACTGTGACAAGAAAATAAGAGCCAGAGTGAAGAAAAACTTTGACAACAGAAGAGGCGTCAAAGAACTTCCACCTTTAGCAGTAGGAGAGAGAGTCTGGGTTAAAGATATAAGTGCGAAAGGAACCATAAGAACAACAACCAATCTACCTCGATCCTACATAGTATCAATGAGTAATGGGAATGGTGTAAGACAAAACAGATGGCATCTCATTCCCCTACCAAGAAAAGAGAATGATGATTCTGACGATGTCTACCGTGGAGGGAGGGTGCAGCCAAACCACAATGATGGAATAAGAAGATCGAGCAGAACAGACCACCAATAAGATATGAGTAAATATAATGAGGAAGGGGAGATGTAGTGTCATTCATATGCCTTTGCATTTAACATATGTTTTATAATTTTGTTTGTTGTTGTGGTGATGATGACTCTTGTTGAATAATAAACACATTCTTTACTTTCAGCATTTATTAGAATTTTATATTATCATATATTTTTAAGGAGACATTTTAGTGTAAATCCAATCAGGCAAATGGAAATTCGCTAAGTCTGCAGGTTTGCTGCGGCGGGGGTATTTTTATATGAAAAGTAGTTTAGTTTTCTAACTTAGTTTGTTAAATAATGTTGACATAGCCTATGACGTCTTTTCAACCGTCGCTCATTTTCCGGCCTACTGTATTCTTCGCTTTGGTCATGAAACTTGAGCTCGAGTCGAGAAAAAAACTTTACGCCCTAGTGATGAAATATACATTTTATTACTGTAATCAGTTGCTAGAAAAGTTGTATTTTTTCATCAGGTAACACTAGATTATTTGGAGCTGTATTATTTGTTGTACTCTAAAGTGTTGCAAGTTACTTACGAACATCTCCATTGGCAAACACCAGCGCCTGTAAAAATGAACCTGTCTCAGTACTAAAACAATTCGTTAAGCATAAATCGAATAAAGAAAAAATAACTGTTTCTAATAGTTAGTAACATAGGCCTACCTGAAACACGTATGACAGTAACCAACAATTGAGTGTACATATTTTATTTATTGAGGAACATATTTTTAAATGTCTTAGCGAGTCAAAACGTACCATGATTATAGCGTTTGAAAGTTTTGGCACTCAACTTTGGTTAACAATAATATGCTAGCATTTTATTTAAAATATAATTTATCAGAGATATTGCTGAGCTTTATGCTGCAGAAAAACTTGAGTAGACTATGTGGATTGAACTTATCCATATATGCGAGAGTAGGCCTAAATCTTTGATCAACGTAATGCCATTTTGCACAAACTCTTTCAGGTAAATTAACGTTACAGACAATAACGTTACAAAAATGAAATTTTTATCGATAATAATTGACCCTATTTCCCATAATAACATCAATATCATATGGACAAACTGTTTGAAATTTGTTTTCATAAAGAGTTCAATAATTTTAATAAACCTTTTTATTGGCATTTCTGGAATTCAAAATATATCTGATGCATCCTACTTACTTAACAATCTGTTTCGATTTGCAATATTTAAGAAACAGTACACACACAATTGTATTGTATCATAAGTAATATTGTATTTATAAATGAACTTTAAGTGATTAGTTACTTACAGTGATCAAGAGAAAATAGCGAGTAAAATCGTACATGTTCGTGTTCTGTGACATTCTAGAGTTTGACGAGTGGTACGGAGCGAAATATGAGCGATTGGCATAGTTAATTGCCTACACTTGTGATAACATACATACCCTCGTGCACTCAGTCTTATCCTAAAATATTAATGTAATAGTGTGTTTAAAATGATAATTGTCAAAATGGGTTTTATCAAAGATATCCACAGTACAATAAATAATAATTTACAAAGAATGCAAATTTAAATATTATACTATGGAGGAAGTATTTTTTTTATAAACATTTTCGAATATTGTTTTTATGTGGAATTATCTGTTTTGGGCTCCCCTTTACCAAAACGTGGTTTTATGAGGTGATTTCTGCCTGCGTGCGCACTTGTATGACTGTATGTGTGTTTGTGCGTGTAGCTACAGATTACACCTGTGGTCCGATTTTGATGAAATTGGGTATGTACTAATTCATAGCATCTAATAGATTTGTTTTCATTTTTTTCTTGGTTATCCCATATAACTCATCAAATAACGGAAAAAAGTATTTTTCAAAAAAATGGGCCGAACGATTTTGTTTTAAATCTTCTTGAGCGGAGCGAAGCGAAGTAGTGAAGCTCTTGTACTACACTCCTGATTTTGTTTTACAAGTACTCCTCCTGAACGGCTGAAGTGTTCTGCACGAAATTTTGCACAGTCATAGTAACTAATCATGGGAAAGTGTAATCTGGAATGGTACAAATCGGACTACGGGGCTTTTGCCTCCGTAAATTTAAACTTTTAGAAATTGGTCGTGATGACATCAATTATCAATTATCAATCATTTGCTGGATAACAATAAAAAGGCAAACAAGAGTCACATGTTAGACAACGAATCATCTTAAATAGCGCATTATAAATACCGTACAGAGAAAAAGGGAAGATCATTCGGATGCTATTGGGCATAATTTACTACAAAATTAATAACAAATAAATAGGGTCGCTGGTGTTAGGCTTTAAACGCTTTTTAAATTTGACTTAAAATATTTTTTTGAATTCAACGTTACATTCACATTCCCCCCTTCCCCCCCCTGCCCACAACTTAATTTTTCTTAAATAGCAAGGTACCCCTTGTGACATATCAAATAAAAGAGCATGAAAAAAGAAAATTTTTGATGAAAAAAAATTAAAAATCGGTTCATAGATTTGCGAGATATTTCCCCCTCCCCCTCCCCGGAACTTAATTTTTTTTAATAGCAAGGTACCCCTTGTGACATATCAAATGAAAGAGCATGAAAAAATAAAATGTTTGGTGAAATTTATTTTTCATTTGATATGTCACAAGGGCGGGTACCTTGCTATTAAAAAACAAGTTATGGGTAGGGGAAAAGGGGGGGGGATTATCTCACAAATTCATTAGCCGATTTTAAATCTTTTTTCACCAAAAATTTTCTTTTTTCACGCTCTTTCATTTGATATGTCACAAGGGGTACCTTGCTATTAAAAAAAATTAGGTTCCGGGGGGGGGGAGGGGGGAATATCTCACAAATTTATGAACCGATTTTCAATTTTTTTCCTACAGTTACCTTACTATGTACATGTTCTCTCACTGATTTGAGAAAGCAAAGTGGCCAATTCGCTCATCAGTGAGACAATGTTAACATTGTCTCACTCTAATTACTTTGTCTCACTCCAGATTTGCAACGTGAAGGCACGAAATAGTGAGCGCGTAACATGCAGGCAACGTCGTATGCGCGCGAAATACGTTGGCAGCACTGGCTGTAAATCAGCTGGTCAGATGTTGTACTGTTGTATTTGTCACTTCACATTAAATGTTATATTAAAAGTTCACTTCTGTGTAAAAATAGGTTATGTTTCTTCACCAATTTATTTGTTTTATGGTAACTGTAGGAAAAATATAATGTGCAACTCGAGTTCAAAGTACAATTGCCTCACTCGAGAAACCATTCCTCACTCGCCTACGGCTCGTGAGTAAGGATTTCTCTCGAGTGAGTCAATTGCTCACTTTTCTCACTAGTTGCACAAATAACGATTTTTCATCAAACATTTTCTTTTTTCATGCTCTTTTATTTGATATGTCACAAGGGGTACCTTGCTATTTAAAAAAATTAAGTTGGGGGCAGGGGGGAAAGGGAAAGAATGTGAATATAACGTAGAATTCAAAACAATTGGGCCCCCTACGTCAATAGATGATTCCCGCAAACTGCATATTTCTATCAATTGCGGTTTTAACTTAAATAAAGATGCAAGTTTTTAAAAAAAACACCCTGTATATATAAATATACCCCCGCCGCAGCAAACCTGCAGACTAAGCGAATTTCCATTTGCCTGATTGGATTTACACTAAAATGTCTCCTTAAAAATATCACATTCCTTATTTAAATAGAATCAGTTTAACACATACTTAGGTTTGCTGAAACAGGGAGGGTAAAAGTGTTTTTTTATGTAAAATGTTAATAGTTAGTAAGAAATAAAAACATTTTCCAAATTCGGGCAAAATATGTTAATTAACAAGCAAACTACAACAGTTTACTAATTCTCCATAAGAATAACATGGGAATTTTAAATTTACAATTTTTTGGAATTTTCTCCGTAACCATTAGGTGCATTATAACGCTTCAATATACTAAATTATTTGTTTTTTTTAAGCTCTACAAAATAGTTTGGAAAGAAATTGCAAAATGTTATGTATTTTGAGCCAAAAATGGGAAAACCCCATTTTTACCCCATAAAACCCCCCATAAACCCCCGTTTCCATGGTCCGATCATGCTGGTTCGCGAACTCGTTCGAATAAACATAGGTTTACACGTTTGTACCAAATTTCATCAAAATCGGATCGTTTTTGCTCGAGTTATCACGCTAACGGACAAATATATACAGGGTGAGTTTTTAATGAGTTCCCCCCCTACTTTTTTCTACATTTCTTAAGATATCATCTCCGGACCACATCAGATCATTGTAGAGTAGTAAGTACTTCATTTTTACTGGGTATACATTTTTGGCTGCCATTTTGGATCCGCCATATCGGATACAAAGTTTTTTTTTCAAATATAAAGGTAGGGTTGTGACCAATTATTTCAAACTAAAATTTTACATTGATTAAAATGTCGCAATTAGTTTTTTAAAATCTTGATCCGTTCTAAAGTTATGAGGACTTTTTAACACTTTATTTTTAGCCCATTTTAACATTTTGCATTTACAAACTAAGACCATAATCTCAAAATAGTGCTAGATAACGATAATTATACACAACTAATTATTTGTCTACCTATTTTCACTTGGTTATGACAGTTGTAATTATTTCGGCCGCCATCTTGGATCCGCCATTTTGAAATGTGATCAATTAATTTAAATATGAAGGTGGTGTTGTGACCCATCATTTCGAGCTACTTTTTTTATGCTGAACTTAATACCGAAATCTGTTTTTCATTTGCATCTTTGGTTTTTTAAATATTGAAATTTTAAATAAGAGAATATTAATATTTCATCAAGAAAGCTTGATAACCAAAAACATTGGTTGATTGCGGCATTGAGTTCAGTATACCCTGTTGGTAAACCTTGTAACTTTAATGCTATTGAACATCATAGAACAGAACCAACTTGTTTAATTGAAACAGCTGTTAAGATTCATCCATTTAAATATGATTACTCATAAGGTTAACATGAAACTCCAGAGCCACCGGGGCGGAGCTCGAGAGTCCGATTAGAATAAAAACAACTTAGTTTTCCTATTTAATGCCTTAAGAATCAGTATACCAAATTTCAGCCTCCTAGGTAAATTGGAAGTATAAGAGAATTAGTGATGAGTGAGTGAGTGAGTCAGTCAGTGAGTCAGTGAGGGCTTTGCCTTTTATATAGATATAATATATAATATAGATTGGAAGTGAGTTGAAAGTTGAGCGATTGTACTGTAAATGCCTTTTTAAAAAAGCTGTAGATTGTTTAGGGATTGGTAGTGTGTCTCTGATGTCTTTACTATTATCATTTTTTTAGGATTATGTCTGTGGGATTTGTTTTGGCAGATGATCGTCTATTGTATATAATATTACATATGATTTTAACTTTATTGACTGAGTTGTCTATTATCTGATAAGTGTCATATGGCATAATTTGTCTTATTAAACTTATACTGATTTTTTTTCTTTTTTTTCATGTTGAACCAAGTAGTGAGACGAATCAAGATTGTTTTATTTTATTATATAGGGCAAACAGGTGTTCCATAAATTTAGTCATTTAAGTTATAAAGTTTTAAATGGCAACCGTTTTTTTTAAATCAAACAATATTTTGAAATTATATTTTTTTATGAATACATTATGACTTGATAGAATTGCTTACAAATTTTCATAAATATATCTTAAATAGTTTTTGAAGTATGCAATACACAAGATGGCGGATATGTCAAGACGATAATTTAAAAAACAAACTTTAATCTATATTTTCTCAACAAACCTATTCCTGAATTCTTTGTACATTCTTATCTGTTTATTGTGTAAACAAATGTGTTACATTCAAAGGAAAATATAAATAATTATAAAAAATTTGGTATGATGCAAATTTCATATCGCAGCTGAAAGGTATTTATTGCTCCACTACTCTATTTTAATTCATTTTCCCGCATTGATTTGATTTAGTATAAAAATAATTGAGATAAGCATATAAGGCGGCTATACGGTACACGGTATGCTGTTGGTTGAGCGTGCACCAACGCACATGCAGTTAACTTGTTCTGATGTTCACACAATAAATCGGGTTTACTAAAAGAACAATAAAATCAACTATTTTACTTGGAAAAGGTCGTGAGCAGCGTTCTGAATCTATTAGTCTTCAGTTCGCCTTTTTTATCAAATTCGTATACCTTAAAACCTTTTATTCTGCTTCGCCTACGTTTATTCTGGTTGTTAGTATTTTGTAAAGGTCTGTTCCTGTTGTAAAGGTGTACACACATGTTACCAAAATAGTATATGGTCAGGTATTCTATAGAACGACTAGGCATTTTATATCCTCCCCAAAATGAATCAGACAAACTATGAAGAACATTATATACTTTGCCTAGTCATTCTATAGAATACCGTTGGCACCTCAGGTAAAGTAAAATAC